AGGGTACCACTGGGGTTCCTAGAAGATGGGCGCGGCAACTGCGAATTCTGTTGGTCATCCTACAAGAAACTTCAGACACCCCCGAGGCTGTTTAGGGCTAGGGTTTAGGCTTCCTTGCCACTGAAATACTTTTGTACTTCATGTTTCTCAATGCTTGGAGGTTCAAGGGGGCGTAGTAAGTAGGTTGATAACCCCTAGCTCCCATACAATAACCCCTACTTATCCCCATTATTCACCTACGTGTCAAGACCCCTGACCCTCCAAGTGGTCATCCCCAAAAATGAGGGAGCCAAAGGTTGATGCTAGCAACTACCCTGGACTACTTGCCGCCATGCAGATGTCTCTCTGAATCTAGAGGAGCCCTAACTCTAAATTAGTATTTCGGTGTTCTATATACCTCTAGATAACCCTGTACAACACTATACAAGCCCCTAATCCCCTGAACCCGAAAGCCTACCCTGCCACGTGCCCCCGGCGAATCCAGCCTGTCAGCTGCGGAGACCAGCCCCATGATTCCTTCAGCTGGAGCAAGAATTCAGGGTTTAGGGATTAGGTTTTGAGGTTTGTAACCGGGGCTTAATACTAGGCTTAGAGTACCATGATTCCATCAGCTTTAGGCTTAAGGCTGGTTGAGTTTCAGACCTAGGGCTTAAAGACAGGGTTTAGTGAGGATGTATGGCAAGGGGATTCAGGTTAAGGATTTAGGGCAGAAGCCGGTACGGTGCTTTGGAGTTTAGGGTTTAGGGTATAACTCACTGCTGGCACTAGGCAAATATTTAGCTTTTGCACGGAGGTCAAACTAGAAGCTCTTTGGGTTAAGGGCTTCAGGGCCTGACAATCGTTCTTTGTGAAGGGTTGGATGCTTGGGTGGAGGGCGGCTAGTCGCTGAAGTCAATCGCTTTGACCTGTCCTTTCTCGAACTTTATCTCGACCGTACAGCGCTCCTTTCAGGACGAACAGAGTCCTAAAGACGCGTTATTCCAACTTTTAAAATCTTGCTGTCCGGAATCCTGACACGATTTAAAGCCTAGACACCCCTACAACTCGACCTAAACTCTAAGCCACCCCAAACCCTAACCCTAAACCCTTAACCCTAAAGCGAAACGCCAAACCCTAAACCCTAAACCCCAAACCCCAAACCCCAAACCCTAGACCCTAAACCCTAACCCTAAACCCCAAACCCTGAACCCTAAAGGAATGGCACAGCTCTCCTCGCACTTTGTTGGAATGCACTGCGCTGCCTTCGCACAGAGCTACTTGGAGGTTCATGGGAAATAGTAACTGCTTATAACTGGGCTTCTAACCCTACCTATAGCCCCCTATAATGACCTTATAGAGGTTACCCCATTTATAAGTAGGGTTATAACCCCAGTTATAAATAGTTACTAAATCCCATGAACCTTCAAGTAGAGTCAGCTTCTGGGAGTTTACTGGACCCTGTTAAGGTTTAGGGTCTAGGGCTTAGGGTTTAGTGTTTAGGGTTTAGGGTTTAGGGTCCAGGGTTTAGGGTTTAGGGATATACAGGCATACGTGAGCTAGAGCCAGCATCCCCCCAGATAACCACTGGAGATGAGGGACTATATTATTGACTATACTAATCTACAAGAAGGAACCCTATGTCCACCCTTAATGGTCCCTTGGTGAGATGAATATTCACAGTGGCTCATGTAGGTTACTTCAATAATTCAGAAGCAGATGGAAAATGACATGGAAACTGGGATTGTATAGGGGTATATAGGAATTGGAGGGCCGTAGCAGGTTTTCAGGAACCTCCAAGCAGAGTTCCTCTTGTGGGGTTCTAAGACTTTGGTTCAGTGGTGAGGACGTGAAGGAGGGTGCGAATGACCCCAGCATTCTGGCTGGACCTCGGGTTTAGGGTTTAAGGTTTAGGGAGTTTGGGAGGATCAGAGAGGGACAACGCCCAGGAACCCTGTACCTGATACCCAACGCTGAGGTTTGAAAGTTCATCATTATAAGGGTGGGGAAGCTGTTCCTAAGGAAGGGAGGGGGGTTAATGCTTTCAAGACGGCTTCGGGAAGGCTTACACCAGGCTTGACTCCAATTGAGGTTTCTCAAAAGCAGATCACCCGCGCAACTGGATGAATCTGTAATGTTCAGGGTTTCGGGTTTAGGGTTCAGGAGTTTAGCGCGGACTCCTTTTAACTAACCATGATACAGGGAGTCCGATTAAGGATCCTACAGGGTCTCTTTGGAATCATGGATATAGACATCGAGGACTGGCAAGATTATGGACCCTTTTGGGTCTCCATTATAATAAGGGCCCCCAATATTCCCACATGTTCAAAGTCGCTGACAAGATGATTTTCTAGAAGACTGCTTAGGTGAGCGCTGTCAAGACTATCCCCATGGCTGAGGTCACTAGATTTAGGGTCTACAGTTTATGGGTTTAGAATTCAGGGTTTAGGGTACCTCCTTAACATGGTAGGACAACATAATCCCTGAACTCTAAATCCTGTTCTCCAACCCTGAACCCTAAATCCCCAACATCATATCCCGGAAAACCCTCTGCAGGCGAAGCCCGTGCCTGGTGCAGAGTAGCCTGGCCCACAAAAGTCTAGAGCTTAGGCTTGAGGATTTAGTGCTTAACAGTTTGAATTTAGAATATAGGATGTGAGCTATAGTCTACACTTCTAGTACCCCCATTAATAACCCACTATAATACTCCCCTACATAACCCCCTTTAAGGAGTTTAGACTATGGCTCATGTAGGGTTCGGTATTCATGGCTTGGGGTTTAGCATTTAGGGCGTGGGATTCGCGGGGTCTCGGATGTAGCTCGTGAGGTGTAGATGAAAAGCCTTTTATCTGGAGCTCGTCAGGTTTTAGGGTTTAGGGTTTAGGGTTCAGGGTCTCCTGATGGAAAATATGTCTATGTGCTTTCAGCAGAATTTTCCACGTACCAGGGAAATGTCGAGCACAGGGGTCGAGGACACTCTACTTGTCAGACATCATGGAAAACCAAAAGCTATGTATCAAAATCTGCGAGCTCTTAAGCGGCGGTCCACCAAAAAAAACACATGGTTTGCAAGAACTCTCGCACGTGCGATTAGAGCATTCCTACGATCTTGCCTACCAAACGGTTTAGGTTTAGGGTTAAACATATGGAGGCCCCTTCTCACTATGAAATTGCAGTGGTCACTCTCAAGGAGTTCCATGAAAAGCCTAGTTCTGCATACAAATCGAGAAGTAGGCTCAGATTTACGCTAGGCCAAAGACCCCCTGCAGACTTCCACATGCCCTGCCCATCCCCTACACATATCCTCCAAATTTGTAGTTTGCATGTTTCCATTATAGATCATGCAATAGTTTCCCATCTCTTTTTCATTGTAAGAAATATTGTAGTTGCACCTTACTTTTCTACTATGCGTGACACAGTGGTTTCCATATCCCGTCCCATTACATGGAATACACAGTGGAGACTAGCAATCCTGCCTGACCCTGAGTACCGTAAACCTCGGCAATTATCTTTTTGTAGTACACTAAGGTCGTTCAGGCTTTGCGTTACCACAATAATGGTTTTCACCTGTATCTTTTGACCGGATTTCCCATAGGCTTTTAAATCCCAAACCCTAAACCCCAAACTCCGAGGCCTACTACAGGGGCCTAAATAGTTACCAATATCATGTTGAAGTCCATTTGAGGTACCATAGACCATAATTATAAGGAATATGGAACCATAATATTGGTAATTATCTAGTATAACCCAAAATAACCCTAATATAACCCCAATATACTATAGTAGTTTCCATGTTATTTTCCATTCTCCCTAATATGGAACCCCTAAACCCTAAACCCTAAACCCTAAACCGCGTAATTATTTAGGCCCTATTATATTACAGGCTCGCCATTTGCCTGCTGCTGGTTCGGCGAGGAAACGTCCACGGCATGGCTGGAGAAACCTAAGGTTTAGGGTTTAGGGTTTAAGGGTTAAGGGTTTAGGGTTTAGGGTTTAGGGTTTAAGGCTTAGGGGTTAGGGTTTAGGGTTTAGGGTTTAAGGCTTAGGGTTTAGGGGCATGAGACACTTGGATCTGAAACTTGGACTTTGTAGGGTCATGTGCGATCGCGTCAGGGTTTGAATAGGGGAAACATAAGGATATCAACCTAATCATGAAGAATCAAATGGAAAATAACTTGGAAAATGAAATGGAAAATGAAATGGAAGCTACTATATATCAAGTTATATGGGTATATAGGGATTATGTAGTAGTTTTCCAAAACAGGAGGACTCCAATATAGACCCAAATTACAAAGCCTTGTTGTAGGGACCCCCGAAATGATACCCCTAATTTTGGGAAACCCCATGTGAACCTTCGTGAATTGGGAGAGATTTTGCTAGAACACTCCGCGCGTCGCAAGCAAAGACTGTACTGAGCTTTGCAGACTACCTCCTCTCTTGGTGAACCCCCAGCGCTCGAAATGTCCAAGTCCTGAAGGACATATAAAAATGTATGACGTCACGGTTGACGACACAAGTGGCAGCCAGACTCGACTTAGTTCAGCTTTTGCATGCGCAGTCTGTAGCCTGCCTTATATGAAAGATGTTAACAGTTGAGCAAGAATGAAATCCGAGTAGACGCGAAGTGGGATAAGCATTTTGTAGGTGTGTTTGTTGACGCTTCCAATTTCAACATACTAAGCTGGTAAATGTATTGATAGCCCTACTACCGCGACTGACATTACTACAGTCAATATAACCATGCAGCCTCCACAAGGCTCCCTGAACAAGCCAGGCAACATTCTTCTGCGAAGCGAATCAAGTCCGTCCTCAGCTCCCGCCCAAGCCGCAGCTCAAGACTAGAAGAAAAAAGGCAATAGAGGTGGTAGTACTAGTAGCACAAGCAGCAGCAGCAGTAATTAAGGAATAGTAGTAATCAAGATGAAAGACAAGGATAGCTGTGGCAGCAGCAGCAGCAGCAACAACAACAACAACAACAGCAACAGCAACAGCAATTACAACAACAACAACAACAACAGCAGCAGCACCAGCAGCA